CTTGCTTGGGTTCCTCAAATTACCCGGTCTTGTTCCTCGGGTTCCCCCGGTTCCCTGGTCTTGCTCCCTGCTTGAATCCCTCCAGCCCCTGGGCGTGGTGGTTTAGCGTGTTTTCTCTTCTATCCTCTTCTCTTCCCACTTAGGGGGAGGGTAAACCTGGACCCGGACGGGGCGCCCCACGACCCATTGGAGCGCCCAGGATGGCTCCAAGAGGGACTCTGAAAGCCAAAGATGGCCTCCAAGAAGGCTCAAGATAGCTCAAGATCGCTTCCAACGTGATCCAATAGGCTCCAAGACCGCCCCAAGACGGCTCCAACTGGCCTCGGAAAACCCCTGAAAGAGCACCGAAGAGGCCAAACTCATCCCAAAGCCATGGGAAAATCGATGGTTGTTGCTTTCTTGCCCTTTCGCTTCTGATGGCTTTCCGAGGCGTCAAGATGAATTCAAGATGGCCCAAGATGTTCCCAAGAGAGGCCCAAGAGGGCCCCGAGACGGCCCCAAGAGCGACCAAGAGCAAGAGCGCCCCAAAAGCACCCCAAGAGGGCTCCAAGAGGCGACTTTGGGGCTCCAGAAGGGCGATGTGAATCAAAGCTCCCACCTCCTTTGAGCGACCTCCTCCAAGATGGCCTCAAGAGGGTACCCAGGGCTCCCAAGAGAGCCCCAAGAGAGCCTCGAGAGGCCCCCTGGAGGCCCGCAAAAGGCTTTTCAAGCGGCCTCCAAGACGCCTCGAAGGGTCTCCCAGGAAACCCCCAAGAGACATCCCAAGAGACTCCGAGGGGCATCCAAGAGGCCTCTGGCCTTTTGCTCGCCTCCTCCTCCTCCTCCTTCTCCTCCTCCTTCTCATCTGCCTATTCCCTCTCCTTCGCCCTCCTCCTCGTCCTCCTCTTCCATGTCATCTTCCATCCTCCATCCCCCCCTCCTCCTCCTCCTCCTCCTCCTCCTCCTCCTCCTCCTCCCTCCTCCTCCTCCTCCTCCTCCTCCTCCTCCTCCTCCCTCCTCCTCCTCCTCCTCGTCCTCCTCCTCCTCCTCCTCCTCGTCCTCCTCCTCCTCCTCCTCGTCGTCCTCCTCGTCGTCCTCCTCCTCCTCCTCCTCCTCCTCCTCCTCCTCCTCCTCCTCCTCTTCCTCCTCATATTATTGTTACTTCGCCGCTACGAAAGTTCGGCCAAAATTCAACGCCTCCCGTTCGGCGACGGGGCCCCAGTACAACGTTGGCAGTGGGCCCGTAAGGACAAGGGGCCCCAGTACAATGTTCGGTTGAAGCATTTTTCGCTCCAGTCTCGCGCGGAACCGCCCTTTCGAAATCGAGCCCGTTGGTTTCGAAATCCAGTCAAGCTCGTTTTGGGGGGGAAGTCCTAAGCGAAAGCCACATTTCGAAATCGAGCCCGAGGGTTTCGAAACCCAGTCGAGCTCGCTTTGGAGGGGGAGTCATATGCAAAAGTTGCATGTTCGAGTTGTCGGGTCAAGGCTTTTAAAATATTAAATGCCAAACGGTGTGGCCATTTCGAAACGGCGGTTTCGCTTGATATTTCCTCGAAAAAAGCGACTTCGAACGATTTCGAAACTTTCGGGTTCGATTTCGAAATAGCGCTCCCGCCTAGGACTTCCGCAAACATAGAATTCGAAACATGTCTGCTTCGATTTCGAAATGGCGCTCCCGCACAGGACTTCCTCAAACATAGAAATCGAAACCTTTCTGCCTCGATTTCGAAATGGCGCCCCCGCACAGGACCTCCTGCAAAATGAGGTTCAGCATTTGTTCCGTTCGAACTCGACATGGCGCTCCCGCCACGGGGGTGCTAGCGTCAAGGTGATAACCGGCGCTCGGCTGCTCATAGGTTCTGTGATGCTTTCAGGCTTTGGAGTGATGCTCACGGCCGTAGTGGTGTTCACAACCAATGTGATGCTCAGGCGTTGTTTAGTTGAAAACACAAAACGGGTCAAAACTTTCGTAGCGCCGATGTATACCTCTTCATGTTATGATTATTATTATCTTTATTACTACTACTCGTCCTCCTCCTCCTTCTCTCCTCTTCCTCCTTATTGAAAAATAACAATAACCCCCTCTCTTGCCCTTACACTTCCCTGGACATTGCTTCTGGATGGGCTGGCGGGGATTTTTTTTTGTTCGCGGGCGTCGCGGCCAACCGCGCGCCATCCAGAAACGAGGCAACCGCGCCAAGCTCTAAATTAGGCACAAAGCGCGCAGGAGCGAACTACGCTGCGGCTCAGGGGGCGAGTGGACGCTGAAAGACAAGCCGGAAACGCCGATGCCGTCGGAGACCAGCAGGTGGATCCGATCCACGTGCAGCGCCAAAGTGTCGAAGCAATTCATGTCCAAGTCCCCGAAGACCACGTCCACGTACACAAAGGAGACGATGACCACGGCCACTTAGTCGAAGAGGGCAAACATGCAGGCGCTCAACGGAGGATTCCGGATCGCCAGGAGGAAGTCAAGAGGCACGAGCGTGATGGAGCCCCTTGCGAGTAAGGAGAGCACGAGGCGGGAGCAGTTGCGGTGGGGCAAAGGCAATACCACGCAACACCGACAGCGAGGCGGCGGAACGCCAAGGAAGCCAGGAGCATTGTCAAACTCGTGGGGGCGGGGCCCAACCGGCGCGGGGGGACACAGTGTCCGACGACCCCGAACGGGCGAGCGGCGCCCGCGAGCCGAGGAGCGGCCAAACGGCAAAGCACCCCGAGAGGAGGGCGAGCGGCATGCCCAAAAGCGAACGGCGAGGCCGAACAGGGATAGCCGGCACCTAGTTGGGCAGAGGCGACGGCGCGGTGGGCCGAGGGAACCCCGAGGCCCCGCGCGCCGGAGCAGGGCCGCCGGCGCCAGCCGCGACGCCCCAGGGGGTCGTCGAGGACCGGGGGGGGGGGCCGGCGGCAGCAGAGAGAGGCCGGGGGCGGCGAGGCGCGACCCGCGGCGGGGGGGCCCCGGCACACAAGCGTTTAGTAGGTATTAAGCGCTGGGCCGAGGCGGCCGTGAAGCAGGCCGCGGTGGGGGGAGAAAGGGCTGACAGCCCTAGTGCGCGTGGGCGGGGACAGCCGGGCAGGGGAGCCAGTGGAGCGACTGACAGTCGCACAATGTTGGAGGAGAACACGCGGGGGGCGGGCGTGGGGGGCGGAGGCCCGGAGGCGGGCGGGGGGCGAACGGGGGGAAAACAGCTGACAACCGCAAAGTGGAGCGGCGTAGCCGAGGGGGGCGGGGACCAGGAGGCGGGCGGGGGGCGGGCGGGGAGAAAGCGGTTGGCAGCCGCAAAACGGAGCGTCGAAAAGGCAAGAAAGGGCGAAGGAAGAGAGGCGGGATGGGGCGACACACAGTCGCGAGGTGGTATGGGGGCAACCCCGCGGGTCAGGTGAGAGGCGACTGACAGTCGCACAGTGGTGCAGAGGGGCGGACGGGGGGGGGGCGGGGGCGCGACTAACAGGCACGAGGTGATTGCTGTAGCGGACAGCGTCAAACTGCGAGTCCAGCTGCCGCGAGGGACCTAGCAGTACGTGTCGCCTCGCGGGAGGAGGGACCAGGCCCTGGGGCGGCGCCTACATACGGCGGGCCGGGGGGGGCAGCGGTCATCCCTGGGGCGAGAGGCCGCACAGGGGGCCAGGAGCACGGGTCTCCTGAGGGCCAGGGGCGAGCCAGCAGCCCCAGCTGGGCGCGCCCAGCTGGGCTGGTGGGGACACTTTTTCTTGTCGCGACCGCGAGCGGGCACCCGCGCGGCGTCAAAAAGTCAAGCGAAGCGCTATGCCGTGCAAGTGCCAGGCAGCGGAAAATGTGCTGGGCCACTACGCAGAAGCGGCGAGAACGAGGAGACGCAAGAAGCTGGTGGAGATACGCGAAGCTTCAACCATTCCTCGGGCTCTCCGGTCTTATTTCTCGGCTTCCTGGCACTGCGAAGCAATTCCAAGTAACGCCACGCAATGCCAATCCATACCAAGCAATGCCGAGCAACGCCACTCAATGCAAAACAATGCACAGCAATGCCAAGCAACGCATTCGCCCATACAGTGGGAAGTGTTCCACCAATTGGGGTCGCGCCAGAGTCATTTTTACACACAGGATCCTATAATTTGTTATTTCCCTTGCGCTGTTTGAGAGGAGCGTTTCGGGTGTCTCAAACTTGTGTTCCCGCAGCAGCGCTGGCTTTATTTCACGATGGGCGCTTTGCTCCCGTCGTTCAGACTGGCGCTCTCGCCCCAATATGGGCCACTTTTATGAATCCGAGCGTTTCCTCATCGTTGTCGCCCCGCTCCTTTCCCTTGACCAGGCTTCCCCTGGTCATCCTGCTCGTCCCGCTTCTCCCACTCCTGCTCCAGCTGCTGCTGTTTTTCCTCCTCCTCCTCCTCCTCCTCCTCCTCCTCCTCCTCTTCGTTTTGCTCATCCTCATGCTTATCCGCTACCTCCTCCTCCAATGTACGCAGCTGTCCTTCTGTGATTGCGCATGACACTGGTCCCTTTGGGGATTCCAGGTCCGCTGTGACACCCGTCTGTGGATAGAGAAAAAATCAGCGCAATGGAAAGGGATGGGTGGAATGGCTTGGATGTCAGATATGGCGCGAGAGCACCTGGCTTGCCTCTCCCTCTTCTTCCGCATCCCCCTCTTCCTCCTGCGCTCTTCTCCCCCTCTTCTTCCTCCTCTTCCTCCTCCTTCTCCTTCCACCCCCCATCCTTTTCCTCATTTTCCTCCTTTTCCTCTCTTCTCCTCCTCCCTTCTCCATCCTCCTCCTCCCTCCCCGTCCCTCCTCCTCCGTCCTCCTCCCCCTTCCTCCTCCCCCATCCTCCTCCATCCTCCCCAAACCTCCTCCCTCCTCCTCCTCCTCCTCCTCCTCCTCCTCCTCCTTCTCCTTTTCCTTCTCCTCCACCCTCCTCCTTCCGGCTCCTTCCTCTCCCTCCTCCGCCATCCTCCTCCCTCCTCCTCCCTCCACCGCCGCCACCTCCTCCTCACTTGACGAGCCTGGGATTGCACACGGACGGCCCTTGGAAGGTAGCCCAGGCTTGCCTCCACGGGCCACCCGGGGACGCCATCGGCGAAGACTACTGGACTCTCTGCAACAGCTGTCGTTGGTTCAAAGATGGGGTCCAGGGATGGCGTCCCAAGGACGAGGCGCGTCAGACAACGTAAAGTCACCCTTGGACCCCTTCTCGGGAGCGGCCAAGAGGGGGGTGTCCAAGAGGGGGGGGGGCACATCATGACCGGCGGCATGTGCGCGGCCCAGCGGGGGGACCAGGGACGTAATGAAATAAGAAGAGGCGCCATGAAATCTGAGGAAAAAGCATGGCCCGCGCCATGAAATCCCCCCCCCTAGTCATCACCCCCCTCTTTGACGCCCCCGACCTTCGCATTCTTAGGACCCCACCCCTCAGGACCCCCTTAGAGAAGCAGGTGGTGGTGAGGAGGAGGAGGAGGAGGAGGAGGAGGAGAAGCAGGGGAGGCTGAGGAGGAGGAGGAGGAGGAGAAGGAGGAGGAGAAGCAGGGGAGGAGGAGGAGGAGAAGGAGGAGGAGGAGGAGGAGGAGGAGGAGTATCCTTTGAGCCACCGACAACTGTCGTTGGCAGCCTCTGCGCGCCGACGTCCCCCGCCGCGCACGCACACCCTCTGCGCGCCGGCGCGCGCCGCTGCGCATACGCAGGTCCTCCGCGTGCCAAGGGGCACAAGGCATGCAGAGCGTGCTGTTCGGAAGCCTGGCAAGGGCTCCTCCGGGAAGTCGTCTTCGTCTTTCCGGGAAACAGCCCGTTGACTGTTTCGCGTGCCGCGCCTCATTCCAGGAAGCTGTTTTTTCCTTCCGTGAGGGCCGTTTGAGCAGCCACGGTTTTAGCAGCCCTCGCCCAGCTTTCGAGCTGTGTTGTTGCGAGTCCAAGCCAATACGGCCGGATCTAGGACAGAATCACAGCGTTCAAAAGCATGAAACCCTCCGCTGGCCCAAACTAAAGAGCATTCGAGGGTAACCCCCCGCCCAGGATGCACGAGAACGTCCAACGAGCACGAAGAAGATGAATCCGGGTACCCTGCCCGAACCGACCTCGATCTTACACCTCGTTCTGGCCGTATCGCCAAGTCCAACCATTTTCGCTGGTGGCGTGCAGCAGAGGCAGTCTCAGCACCCCCACGCCGCCTCCAGCGGCACCCCTGCGGCGCTCCACGTTGTGCCGTCGTCGTTTCTGCAGGCGCGCAAGCGAAGGGTGGGTAGGGAGGGAGGGAAGGTCCAGCCGGAGGGAGGGGGGAAGGCCGGGTCCAGAGGGAAAGGGGAGATCTTCGATCTGGGGGAAGGGGGGATGTCCGAGACTTCCAGACTTTCAGACATCCCCACCCTCGCCGGAAACGGGACCCCTCCCCCTCTCGACTGAGAGGGGTAGGGGTCCCAGCTCCAGCGAGCGGACCGCTTGGACTTTGCGCAGTGCAGGGCCTGTAGAAGACGCTCTCTTCAACGTCGTGACATATTGTGATGGATCGGGGCGGTGTCCTATCTCGCCTCTGTCAGTTGGATGAGCATTGATAGCGCCTGCTGCCACTGCCCCCCAGTCTCGCACGCGCTTATGCCAGCGCTGCAGGTGGTCACGTCTGGCTCCAACTTCGTCTCCTGGAATTCGCTCACCATCGACAACACCTGCTGCCACTGGCCACCTTTCTCGCATGCGCGGATCCCGGCGTTGTAGCAGATCACAGTGGACTCCACCTTCGCGTCCCGCATCTCGCTGAGCAGCAACAGAGCAAGCTGCCAGTGCCCCCCGGTCTCGCACGCACTGATCCCAGCGCTGTAGCTGATCACGTCGGGTTCCAGCTGCACCTTCCGCAATCCGTGGAACAATGACAGCGCATGCTGCCATTGTCCACCTTCTTCGCATGCGCTGACTCCAGCATTGTAACTAATCACGGTGGGCTCTAACTCTACGTCTCGCATTTCGCTGAGCAACGACAGGGCTCGCTCCCACAACGAACGCTTCGCGCAAGCACTGATCCCTGCATTATAACTGGTAACGTCAGGCTCCACTTGCGCTTCCGACAATTCGCTGAGCAGCGTCAAAGCCTCCTGCCACTGACCACCTTTCTCGCAAGCGCTTATCCCAGCGTTGTAGCTGATGACGTTTGGCTCCAACTGCTTCTCCCACATCTCGCTGAACAGCGAGAACACCTGTTGCCACTGCCCGCCCTTCTCGCACGCGCTGATCACAGCGCTGAAACTGATGACAGTGGGCCTCAACATTACCTCGCGCATTTCGCTCAGCAACGATCGGAGGCGACGATAGGGGCGAATAGCCCAAGAGGTAAACATACATGTATCCAGGAACACCAATGGTCCATGTCTTCGTCGAGGCTCCCGGAGGGATACGTGTAATGCCCGCCCCTGGGCTACTCGTTCATATCGCCGCCTCCGAAACGACAGCGCATGCTGCCACTTCCTGCTTTTCTGACACGCGCTGATCCCGGCGCTGTAGCTGATGACGTCGGCTTCCACTTTCGCCTCCCACATCTCCTTGAGCAACGACAGGGCCCTCTGCCACTGCTCGCCAATAACGCAAGCGCGTGTCACGGCGCTGTAGATGAGGACGTCGGGCTCCAACTTCGAATCCCACACCTCCCTCAGCAACGACAAAGCCTGCGGCCACTGCTCACCTTTCCCGCACGCGCTGATCCCAGCGCTGTAACTGACTACGTCGGGAGCAAGCTCTGCCTTCTGCATCCCGCTGAGCAACGATAAAGCATACAACCACTGTTCGCCACTATCGCAGGCACTGATTCCGGCGTTGTAGGTGATGACGTTGGGCTTCACCTTCGCCTCCCACATGCTGCCGAACAACATCAGTGCTTGCTGCCACTGCCCAGCTTTGTCGCACGCGCTGATCCCAGCGCTGTAGCTGACTAAGGCTGACCCGTGGACTCCGTCCACGACATCTTTCTGGAATGGTTCTCGGAGGAATGGCGGAGCCTTGCCGAAAACCTATAAGCACGGCGGCGGCTGGGGCGGCGGCAGCGAGACCGCGCCTTCGTGTCCGAACTCTTGCGGCGCTCCAACAGGTTGGCACTTGCGCTCTGCTCATTCGCCCCCCTCCTATTGGGGGCAGTTTTGAAGTCTCTCGGGGATGTGCGTCAAAGTCGAAGCCCATCTGAGGCATCTCAGGAACGCCTTGGGAAAGGCTCGGGAGGCCTTCGGTCCAGGAGCGCTGGGGAGGAACGCAAGGACCTCCAGGGAGAGCCCAAGAGAGCATTAAGAGGATGTGAAATTCAATAAGGTCTTAACAGAAACCGCTGCTGGATCGAACGTGCTCCTCTAAGTTGGGGAAGCCGTTTTGTTGGAGTTCTGTTGAAGGCGAAGCTCTCTCGAGCGTGTCAGGAGCGCCGGGCCCCCTCTCTTGGAGGCGGTTTTGAAACCTCTTTGGGCCTTTGGGGGTGGGGGTGAGGGCCTCTTAGGTCCTCTTGTGGGACTCTTCAGGACCTTCTGGGACCCTCTTCGGCCGTCTGGGCGGCTCCTCTTGGGCTGTCTTAGGGCCACGTTCAGAGCTCCGTACGTCATCTGGACACTCATTAGGCTCTCTTCTGGGCCTTCTCGGGTTTCCTCCTCCACCTCCTGCTCCTCCGCCTCCGCCTCCGCCTCCGCCTCCGCCTCCTCCTCCTCTTGCTCCTCCTCCTCCTCCTCCTCTTCCTCCTCCTCCTCCGCCTTCTTGCCTCGATCCTGCATGCCCTGAATCTTCGATCGTAAACCGTAGATCCTCGGAGCATCGAAAACGGCTGTTGGGGCCTGCGTTCTGCCTCTCACCCCTCGTCCGCCCCCCTTCTGTTGGAAAGAATTCTGTAACCACTTAGGGCCTCTTGGGGGCCGTGTGGGAGCCTCTTGGGCTCTCGTCGGTGCCGTTTGGGCCGTCTCGGAATCGTCTTGGGCCGTCTTGGGCACCTCTTGGGCCTTTTGGGGGCCATCTTGGACCGTCTCGGGCGGCTCTTGGAAATGCCTTGGGCGGCTCTTGGAACTGTCTCGGGTGTCTTCTGGGCCGTCTTTGGGCCGTCGTGGGCTGCCTTGGGCGTCTTTGGGGCCGACTTCTGGCCGTCTTGGGCCGTCTTTGGGGCTGTCTTGGGTGCCTATTGGGCCGTCTTGGGGGCCTCCTGGGCCCGTCTTGGGGCCCTGATGGGGCATCTTAGGACGATCGTGGGGGGATCTGTGGCCGTCGTGGACGCGTCGGCGACGAAAAACACGGCAATGCCACACATATGAGTTTTCGGAAGGGAATAGGGCGATTTTTGCGTCTCAGGCCTGTCCTGGGGAATTCTCGACGGCCGTCTTCCGAGGCTCCTTGCCTGCCCTGGGGGCCCTTGGGGTCGTCGGAGCGGCCTCTTGAGCGGTTCGGAACGCCCCTGGGGCTGTCGGGGTGACCACTGGAGCGGCTCGGAGCCGTTTTGGAATCGTAGAGGCGCCCTCTTGAGCGGTTCGGAGCCGCCTGTGGGCCGCCAGGGCGGCCTCTGGAGCGTCTCGGAACCGTCGGAAGGCACTCTGTCCAGAAACACTTTTCGCACGCACTGTTCCTGGTGTTGTAGGAGAGACGAGGCCTGCCTCGTGGACGACGTCCACAGAATTTGTACGACATGGTATGTCATTGTGGACGTGCTGCGGAAAAGGCTGAAATTGCAACGCGGGCCTCGACCCTCGCATTCCGCACGTGCTGATGCGTGCTGCCGCGCGCTGCTGGTTGCAACTGCCGTTGCGTGCGGTTGGTAACGCTTGCCGCTGCTGCGTGCTGTTGCTGCCTGTGGCTGCAGGGTGCTGCTGATGGTCAGCTCTGCTTGATGCGGTTGCCCGCTGTCTGCTGCTGTTTGCTGCTGCTGTGTGCTGCCTGCTTGGTGCTGCGTGCTGTTGCCGTTCGCTGCTGCAGGGTGATGCCTCTCGCTGCTTCCGCCTGCCGGCCCAACCTGCCGCCAGGAGACGACCGAGGAACCAGGATCGAGGAGAGCGAGGAGGCGGGGGGGAGAAGCGACGAGGGCTCAGAGAAAAGCGAGAAAGAAGAAGCGACGGCCGATGAGAGAGGTTGATGATGCGAGGCGCGGCTTCGCTACGTGCGTGCTCGATGTGCGACGGCGGGCGGGGTGGGTCCAAGTGGGCTGCCGCTTGCGCCACCGCCAAGACAGTGCAACAATATTGGGAGAAACAAGTGGCACGTGTGCCATGGCTCTTGCACAAAAAGGAAGGGGGAGGAGAAGGAGGTGGAGGAGGAGGGGGGAAGGGGGGGGGCAAGACATCGCCCCTCGGGGCCCAGCAACGGGGCCCAAATCCCAGGTGGGGAGGGGGGGGGGCGTCGCGAGGCGGAATAAAGTGCTCGGAGCGGAGGGGGCACGGGCCGGAGGTCCCACTGGGCCGCTGGGGGCGCGGAGAGGATGGGGGGGAGGTGGTGTGCGTCGCGACGCGGAATGAAATGGTCGGGGCGGAGGGGGCACTGGGCGGGGCTTGGGGCAGAGGGCCACCGGGCGGGTGTCCAACTGGGGCGCTGGGGACGGGGGGGAGGAGGGGAGGTGGTGTGCGTCGCGACGCGGAATAAAATTGTCGGGGCGGAGGGGGCAGTGGGCGGGGCTCCCGCTGGGGCGCTGGGGACGCGGGGAGGCTCGGGGCAGAGAGCCACGGCGCGGGGGTCCCACTCTGGCGCTGGGGACGCGGGGGGGGGGGTGGGGGGGGCGACGCGGAATAAAGCGTTCGTGGCGGAGGGGGCAGTGGGCGGGGCTCCCGCTGGGGCGCTGGGGACGCGGGGGGGCTTGGGGCAGAGAGCCACGGCGCGGGGGTCCCACTCTGGCGCTGGGGACGCGGGGGGGGGGGGGGGGGGGCGACGCGGAATAAAGTGGTCGGAGCTCTAGACACCCTGTGCAAAAGAAATAAGCGAACATCCATGGGCAGACTGCAGATGCGCCGGCGGCAGAAACTACAAACGCAGTGGCAAGTAGATGCTAAACACCACTGAAGCCCAAGAAGCGTGCGCTGTATAACATCTACGGCTACAAGCCCCCTTCAAGGGGACATCTCTCAGTCTGAGCTACTGACCCTCTTCGAGGATGATCGCCTCAAAGACCTGGCGCTGAGCAGCTGCCTCTGGCCTGGGTGTCCTTGCGGCAGAATGAGAAAACGCCTGCGCCTGCTGAGAAAGACGAGTGCCTTCCGTATGCCCAACAGCACGCGACTCGGACTCTCTGAGGCCATCGTGGGACACAACGCCAGAAACGACCTCCAGAACCAGCTCCGAGCCAAGACTCTGCTTACCCAGAGAGGAACCCTACAAAGCCCGCCCAGGAAGGACACACGCGCCAACCGCCAAAGGAGAGGGGAGGAACTGAACATTCCACCCATGTTTCTTCTCCTGAGGGTGCATAAGCGCATGTCCATTTTGTGCGCTCCGCTCCTTCAGAGATAGGCGAGCAAGGTTCAGAAAAGTGCATGACTCGCCCACCTGTGCTGCAGTGGTGGCACTGGAGACAGATGCAGAGGAAAGACCCGCCAGCGCACTCTAAAACCGCACAACGATGCTTGCTCTCTTCCAGCACCTTGGGGTTAAGACGAGGGGGCAACTCACAAACACTTGGAAGGGGACGGCTCTCCCCCCTCTTCCCTCGCAAACAAGACGTGCAGTGCCTAGAAACGGAGGCCCAAACCCATTCATGATTGGGGCCCGCGGCCTTCCTTCCACTGCTGCCTGGCTTGGCAAACTCTATTTCCGCGAGGTCCAGACGAGGCCACAGAAGGGGGAACTTTGCTGGCAATCTGGATCCCGCCCTTGGGAATCTCGACATATCTAGCAACTCGCTCCTGAGATCCCTATCGGGGACCTGAGCCCCACTGCCTTGTCAGCGAAAGATGCCGACTTGCGCAGACGTCATGGGGTTCGAACCCCCTCTTCATTACTTCAATATTGTCCTTGTGGGCCGCAACTTCGACTGCATCTTTGATGCGCCCTTGCGGTCCCTGCGGAGGCCCCGACGATTGAACCAGAACAAATCCTGTGACCAGAAACTCTTTCAGAAGCAAGCCACCTCCCCACAACCGCACCGCTTGCGCTGTCGGAATATAACGCTGAGTCCCTGTCCTGCCGACGCAAAACGTGAACATACCCCTGCCTGAGAAGATTCCGGAAGGTGGCCCCGCGCGGAACCCCGGCACCATCTCAACAACTCCTGGCCCTGGGAGAGAGAAGGAAGGGCGCGGGAAAAACCAGAGCGAACGCTCACGACGTGCTTCTCGCAACCAGGGTCCGGACTTTTGGCGGGGGGGCGAGCCCGCGCCCGCGAGAGGAGGGCGACTGGGTGCGACCCGCGAAGAGAGGGCCACGCTGAAGTTCCCAGACAGGGTTACCAAGGGGCCATTGGCACTCCGCCGCCGCCCTGAACGGGGCTAATGCAGCGAAGAGGAGGGCGAGGCCCGACCAACACGGGCCCCATGCGGGACCTGCGCAGGGACGGGGCATGGGCCCGCGGGGAGACCACGAAGGCACGAACGGGCAAGGTCAGACAAGCACCTGCGCATGAACAGATAGCTCGGACGCTGGTTAATGTGGCGCGCGAGACTGGGTGGAGCGGCCCGCTGGGCTGATAGTCAGTGCTCTGCCAATTCAACCCGCGCAAAATTCTACGTTGGTGGCATGGCCCTGAAGGCCACTGAATAGGGAATGCCCCCGACGAGCAAAGAAGGAGGCCAGGCGGCAGTACAATAGAAGCGACTGGAGAGACCCGCAACAGGGAAACCGAATCTGCGATCGACACACGCGCACAGCACAATGCCTGAGCGGAGCAATTTCTGATAAGCTGGATACCGAGAGGACTGCAGCCTGCACCGACGAAGGGCTTCGTGGGCAGCAGAGCCTCAGAAGCAAAGGGCGCCGCGCGAACCACGAAG